GTGCCGTTAGCGACAAAAATCTGCGGGGAGCTATGCAAAAAACGCATCTTCGCGCGGGCAGCCCGTAAGCTGGCCAATTATTGCAGTATTTCGTGCTGTTGTAAGATCGTTGGAATCCCAGTAACTAGAATTTATCGCATACTGATCTCCGAAATTCAGAAAATTAATTATGCAGCTACACGATACTTGGTCTGGGAACATCCCCAAAAAATTTCAGCTTTTCTTTTCTGGTTCCCGAGTGAGCTACTTTTTCGCCAAAAATTTTCACGGAACCGCATGGGAGAACCACATATCCTTCGGGACTGAATTTGGAATATTTAAGGTGTACATGAGCTGGGGACATTCCCTTAAAATTTCAGCCTCCCAGCTTTCCTGGTTCCCGAGTTAGTCATTTTCCCGTCAAAAAGTTTCAAAGACCGCATGTGAGAACCACGTATAACTGGGGATTGAGCTTAAAATATTGGAGCTATACATGCCGTTAAAGATCCGGACCTTCAGCTTTTTCTGGTTCCCGAGTTAGCGATCTATCCACCAAAAACTTTCATGGGACCATACATGAGAACCTCGCACACCTGAGGCTGAATTTGAAATCATTAAGTTATGCATGGACTGGAAACATCCCTTTAAAATTTCAGCCTCCCAGCTTTCCTGGTTGCTGAAATGAAAGTGGGTGACTAAATGCACTCGCTTCTGAACACGCACACACACGCAGCCTCTGGACTACATGCGTTTTTGCTGGTTGCACAGCAAAAACGCATAAAAACTCATATTGTGAAGTGTTTGTGCGTGTGTGTATGTTGGTGTATGTGTGTGCCTGTCCGGGTATTCCAACTCCGTAATCAAATAAGCTTCGGCGCTGGAAGTCTGCCAGTGGATTCCCGGGCCAAGCGCCACTCCAGAACCGCGATGCTAATTTTTACGCATGTCTGGGCCCTGCGTATGAGGATGTGGAAGTTTGGCGGAAAATTGATAAGCCAAGGATCAGAAAAGATGGAGTGTTGAAATTCTAGGGTGATGTTCCGCGTTCAAATATAATTTAAAGGTTTCAAATTCGGCCCCCTATTTAAAGGCTTCAAATTTGGCTTTTACGCACTGGCACGTAAAAATTCTGGTGGGAAAATTACCAACTCGAGGAAAAGGAAAGCCGTAATACAAGAGTTTTAAAGGGATGTTCTCTATCCACGTACAACTCAATGATTTCAAATTTAGTCTCTATGTAACTGTGGTTCACGTACGAGTATGTGAAAGCTTTGGCAGGAAAACTGCTAATTTGGGAGCCAGAAAAGAAGAAAGGCTGGAAAGGCTGGAATGCTGTCTGTCCAACTTAAACTTAAATATTTCAAATTCAACTCCCAGGTAGCGCGGTTCTCACGCATAGGCACATAAAAGTTTGGCGGGAAAATTGCTAATTGAACAGCCTGGTTATTTTCAAAGAGCGACCGTTCAACGGAAATCTTTCATTTTCTTTTGTGCAAAATTAAGGTTGATTTATGTTAATGAGTGTGTAAACTAAATACAAGCAACAATCATTTGTGCACTTAACGGCCTAACTGCTTCAAATATTTAATGCAAAAATGCATGATTGCGCCGGCAAGCCTGATACGTTTCAGTCTAAGGTTTTTATAGGATTCTTCAGATGTTTTAATTCTCACTCCGGATTACTCGCTTTTTCTTTGACGTGACAACAGTTCCTGAGGGACATGCAGTGGATGAGCAGGGTGGGAGTAGCGGAAGAAAATGAATTTCTGGCCATTTTTAAGAAAAAAAGAACGCATTCCAAGGTAGCTTCTTTTATCCACTATTCAACATTACAAAATTAAGACATTAAAAAACTAATCGATCAAAGCACATAAATATAACCGCTTTCTCAAAATAAGCGAATGCGAACTTAAGAGTTATCATTCTCCTCCAAGCCCTTCGCAGGATGTATTCTTGTTCAAGTCACATACACTTTTGCATTTTCAAGGCGGGCTTTTGTTTCAGTATCGGCATCGGCCCAGTAGCCTGGTTTATTGGTACGGAACTAGCTGGATCGGGAGCTCAAGCTCGTGTGCAATCGCTTTCCATTTCGGCACAATATGTCACTTCATTCGCTTGTCCAGTCATCTATTCACCACTGGAGCAACTTATTGGACCATTTAGTTTTTCACTTTTCATTATTCCTTTGACAGTCACGACGTTCTGGATTTACTACTATATGCCGGAAACACGAAATCGCAGCCCAGAGCAGATTCGGAGCTTGCTGGAAGCTGGAAAAAGGCGGTTTTAGTGCCAAGCTAAGTTAAAAATTTTGCGGAGTGCTGAGTGATTTGAACTGTGAAAGAGGACTGCAAGTTGTATTCTTGAGCAATGTTCTTAGCAAGAAATTTTACGCTTTGTTTCCAATCTAAGAACTTAAGAGAAGCTGGTGCTGTTACATCCCTCTGTAAAATGTGAACAAGTTGTGTGGAGTCCTAGCATTTTGTTGACCCCGTTATTGGTTGTCTCACGACAGAGGCCAGATCTAGTCTACAGAGTGTATACGGCACAGGCGATCTTCACAGATGCACATATAACTGCGTGTACAATAAATTTTACTTAATTCACATTTCATTTTATTCTCTGGGAAAAGCTTGATTTTGCAGAACATAGCAGCGCAGTGTCAAACCAAGTGCCAAAATACCGCAAAAAATTTTTTAGTAACAGTTTTAAAACTTCATTGGTGTGGGTAATAGGACTAAGCTCCCTATCATTTGGGAGAAGCAAGAGGCTCTGATCTCCAATGCTTTCATTTAAATTATTGCTCAATGTTTCATTTAAATCCGTTCTTCGGAACGTGAGGCGTAGAATATGTTAGGATCGGACAGGAAGACGCAATAAACCAAACCGAATTGTGTCGAAATTATTTAGCAGATACTTGAAGGAGTAAATCGTACGTTACCAAAGATCTTCAAAAGGTATCAAATTTCTGATACGGCAAGGCCTCTGTGTTACTGCAAAGGTCCTAAATTCAACCAGTGAGGTTGTATTGAAAAACAAGAAAAAAAATTAGACAAATATGGAACAATAAAAAGAAGTATAACATTTCATTTGAGTATTTGTTCTTTTTCAAGCCATAATGCATGTCACCGAGACAATTTATTGGCAAGATTAGCATCCGTTGCCGTAATATGGATTACTGCTCCATGGGTTGCAACAGGCACAACCACTGTCCCACGGAGTTTTGTTTTGACCAGCCGAATTATATCCACTATTCCAACCGCTGTTTTGGTTCCATGGTGGCGGGCTGCTGTTGGCAAAGGCTTCCCACGGTTTATAATCACCGTATGGCTGATTTCCAGAACCAGCAGTCCACCGTTGTTGCTGTTGCTGGTTATATCCACCATTCCACGGCTGTTGTTGGCTGCTACCAAAACCCCACGGCAGCTGCTGATTGTTTCCAGGGCCCCATGGTTGATATTGATGGTTACCAGCACTTAAAGGTTGCAGCTGGTTGTTAGCTGATCCCCATGGCTGCAGCTGATTGTAGCCTGGGCCCCAAAATTGCTGCTGGTTGCTTGCACCACCCCACGGTTGTTGCTGATGAGCACCGCTCCCCTGCGGTTGCTGCTGGTTGTTACCAGGACCCAACAACTGCTGTTGATTGTAGCCGTTCCGCCACGGCTGCTGCGGGTTGCTACCAACACTCCACGGCCATTGCTGTTGTTGGTTGCCACTGGTACCCCATGGTTGTTGCTGGCTGACACCAGCGCCCCAGAACCGTTGTTGGTTGTTGCCGCCACTCCATGGTTGCTGCTGATTGCCGCCCCCACCGTTCCATGGTTGTTGTTGGCTACTGCCACTGCCTACACTACCACTCCATGGCTGCTGCTGGCTATAAACACCGTCGATCCATGGAAAATGCTGATGACCGCTATTACTATTCCATGGCTGCGGTTGATTGTTAGGCCAAGGACTTCGGTGGCCGCCAGGTAAAAAATTGTTCCTTTGTTGCTCCCACGGCTTCAGAGGAATTTCTCGCTTTACACGTGCTGTCAAAGCACTTGGCCCCGTTTCCGCCTGGAATGGAAACAAGATTTGCAAGAAACATTAACAGATTGATAAAATGAATAAAACTTGTCGTCATACATGGAATTAATGATGGATGCAACTTGACAAAAGAGTTATGCCAACTGGCCATTCTCCTGCAAAGACCTGGGGGTCGAAGCTCGCGTCTTCACTATCTCTGGGCTCCTCGAATTGTGGTGTGTTATTATTCCACCTTTGTATTTCACGGCAAGCATCTGGAACATTTCTATGGTGCGTGTTCATGAAGAGTGCTAAGAATCAAATAACTACTGGATTGCAGCAATGCAAGCGTAAAACATAAATCATCAGCTGAGGTAGCACTACAAGCTATGCGAGGGAGCTGGAAATTAAGGCTTCTTGACCTATTCCTTTGCTAAAATTTGTATGTCACTAAACTGATGAACTAGAAGTGCCCCACCTGATAACAGTTTTATGAACAGTAACGATGAGTTACATGGGTTCATCCAAAAAATTTTTGCGCAACAGCTCAAATAACCAATGTGAGGTGTCTGAAGTTTATGAAGAACAACTTCCGTAATTACAAAAACTTTTTTGTATCCATCCTATTGCAGCATCAGTACCGAACTATGAAAAATGACTATTTCTGAGTTCAGTAGACAGTAAAGGCACCGAAGCGCAGTCATAAAAGATAACGGGAAGATGTGAAAGGCAACGCACTCGTGTTTTTGTTCAATTTTAAGTCAAGCAGAATAATGCCGAAGCAGAAATTCTCATATTACAAAATTTCAAATGGGAACCTCGCCAGATACAGTTCTTCCTGTTGCGAAAGCAGCCGCATAGAACAGCAATAATATTCTGCAAGCAAAAACATCATCATATCAATACCTTTTAAGTCGGAAGCTATAGAGCATTTTAAAATTCGGCACTCATAAAATGATTATGGGGGAGAATTAACTTTTTTGACTTCTAATTAACAATATGAATGATTCTTTAGAAAAAGAAAAAATATTATTTTTGACTGATATTTATGTGGTGCATCGGTTACGAAAATTCTTTAAACATACGTGACAAGCGCAGGATCCATCGGAACCGAGATTTTTCTGCTGAAATTTACACACTCATAAATACAGTAAAAGCTAATCATGCGTCTCGCATTTGTTTAGTCAAGTTAAAATTCACCAAAAGCGACGCAAACATTACGTTTACGTTTGCGTCGCTCTTGGGAAAATTTAATTACATTTGCGTCGCTCTGTTATTTTGCTATCATAGCAACAAGCACTCTTTATGAGGTTGATAGCCTTTTCCAAGAATCGCTGCAAAACAAGAAGACAGTACTAGCATTTCAAAGACAGAAGCAGTAGTACCGCTTGAATTTTTTGAGGAAGATTTTCTCCTCCTTAAAGATGCACTGCAATTGCTGGACATCAGCAAGGACAGTGGCACGAGCTGTTACGATAGCGGTTTCTGACAAATTAGGCACAGACAAGTATATTTGCCGGTGAGTGAAGTGCGAACCACTGGACAGCTATCGCAGTTTGGCTTTTTTGAGCTATAACGCTAGTTTAAAAAGCGGCGAATACTGTCAGAAAAGTCTCGAACACATCCGCACATTAAAAGTTTAGTACAGCTGCCCGTTGCTTCGTTCGCTATTTTTGTCCTCTGTAGCTTATGTGTCAGTGTTTGGCGATGGAAATGAACAAAGGAAACAAGCTGCGAAAACGCTGCACTTTTCTGCAATAGATGCTCCTCAATAACTACGGTTTCACGAGTCACCAATTTGAATGCTGTTCAGGACTTGTTTGTATCTGTCCAAAGAAAGGAAATTAATCATCTCCTAATCAGCCACTCTGATCACTTTATCAAACATGCGCTTTACCTCCTTAGATTCCACAAAGCTGGGAAATGAATATCTACAAAAACTGAACTTGCGAGAAACTATTTTCAGTGGAGGTCCAGTTAATTTTTGCAGCACTCGCAGTAGCAGCCGGAGCATCAAGCAGAATGACTCTCTCCGCTTTTGACAAAACTGTGCTCTTTAACAGATAGCAGTGGTAGTCTAATACGGGTTTTTGACAATCCTTGGTGATTTTAGCGATTTTTATGCGTTTTTGCATATATGTAAATTGCAAAAATGCATATTGGGAAGAGGTTGTCTGTGTGCGTGTGTGCGCGCGTGTGTGTGTCTGTGTGTTCGCAATTTTTGTCACTCACTTTCAACTCGAGACCCAGCAAAGCTAGAAGGCTAAAATTTGGGGTTATGTGCCCATAGCATGCGCGACCCTCCCGTTTTGATTTCAACCCCAGCGGGCGCATAGGTAGCGCGTACGGACGCTTTAAAAAAATATGCAAATTTTTTGGCGGGAAAGCGATCTCGGAAACCACAGGAGCCAAGGGGCTGAAACCTTGTAGGGATATTCCCTGTACATGTGCTAGCTGAAGATTTCAAATTCAGCCCCCAGGTATGCGTAGTGCTCAAGTAGACGTGTATGGAAGTTTTAGGAGGGAAATTGCTAACTCGGGTACCAGGAAAGCTAGAAAGCTGAAATTTTGAGGGATGTTCCCTATCAAGGTAAAACTCAAATATTTCAATTCAGCCCCAAGCTATACGTGGTACTCATGTAAGGGCGTATGAAAGTTTCTACAGGGAAATTACTAACTCAGCAACCAGAAGAGCTGGAACGCTGAAATTTTAGGCGGATGTTCCCTATTCACGTGCAATTTAAAAATTTCAAATTTAGCTTTCCAAGCACGTGGAGTACCCACATACGGGTATGTGAGGGTTTTGGCGAGGAAACTGCTAAGTCGGTAACCAGAAAAGTTGGAAAGCTGAAATTTTGAGGGAATGTCCCCTGTCCAAGTACAACTTAAGTATTTCAAATTCAGCCTTGAGGTATGCGTGGTTCTTGCGCATGGGCACTTAAAAGTTTTGGGGGGAAAATTTCTCACTGAACAGTTAAGTTACTTTTAAACAACGATCGTTAAATGGAAGTCGCACATTTACTTTATGTAAAATTTATGGTGATTTGTGTTAGTGATCGCAAAAGGAAGGTGTGAAGCAACTGCCATTCATATAGTTAATGACCTGAGTAATTCAAGTCCGATGCAAAAACACATGATCGCACGGATCCGCCCGATGCATTTCAGCCTGTGTTATACTAGTGTGTGCTTACATTCTATTAAGCGTCATGAAATCTTGCTATTTTAGGCTCACTCTGGGCTGCGAATTCGACTTTTCGATCTGTAGAATTCTGTGCAGTGGGCATTCTTAAAGGCACTGCGTGTTGTGAAGTAACGGTGTGACTAATAAGACTGGATTTGTTCACGATTTTTTAAGACTAGGTGGAAAGGAAACGGGGAATTGGGCAGGCGATGAAGATAATAATAGCGCAGCGTAAGAGCAGATTTTTTTTTAACAAATATGTAAGGCTAAATTTTCGATGCTGTTAACGATTAGCACGCAATTTCATGCTTTTGTCATTTACGCAAAAAACAAAACACATTAAAGAAAGGCCAATTCTGTGCGCATGTGTGTATGCTTGCGCATTTATTTAACCGTTTGTTTTGCCACGCATTTTAACTCTGGAACTGCAAAAGCTAAGAATTCTGAAATTTCTATGCCTTGTTTTTTAATTTCAGGTCAACATTTGAGTAAAATCCTGCGGCTTGCAAAGATAGTGTTATCATTATGCACAAATAAAACAGTTCTGCAAAGTTATTAGGAGCATTTGAAGTTTGTGCTGCACATTTTTTCCACAAATTTCCCTTTTGCTTCTTAACTGATAGGACTGCTGAAAAGGTTATTTCAGCAAGAGGAAGAAAATCGCTGTTCACTACGACACCTATGCCTCGACTAAGTGCACATCGTACTGGATTTTGTTGCCTGTGGATGGCTGATTCATCAACTGAGTAATTCTCCACTATTTGGACTGCTCTAAAGGCAACCGCAAGATCTAGAATGATGAGTTTTGAAAGGGATAAAAGTTGTTCAGGAACACCAGATCTAGAAAAATTAATTGTTTTCATAGCTGCCTGTCCTATCACAATACTGTGACGCATAAGCGCGGTGAACAAAAATGATGGAAGAAGCAGATGAACAGCTGAACTAAACTTTTGATAGTTGGATGAGCTCGGAATACGCGCTGGTAATGTTCACTGCTTTTTAAACTAGCGTTATAGCTCGAAAAGCCAAATTGCGATAGTATCTACTGATTCGCTTTTAATTCATCGTTAGTTTTTTTAAATATATTTCTGAAATGGTTAAATGATACATCACCGTTGCAGCGTACAGCCGATGCCTTTGCGATGAAAAAGGTAGTATCCAGTTTTTTTACGTTTTGTAGGGAACCGCATCTTTCCATGACAAATTCTGGCGATAGGCTAACGTAGATGTCCTTGGCATTCTAACATTTCCAGAAAGACCCTAAACCACCTTTTCAGAGGGGTTATTGGTAGGGAAATCATCGATGCTGTTTGCCTGAGTCGTAAATGCTTGGACGGCTAAAAACGCGACTCTACTGCCTTTCAGTATGCGCAAAGCCAGACTGCAATTAAAAGAACGCACCGAGCGGGCCCGTGCGGTCATGTATTTTTGCAATATTTCGTGTCGTTATAAGATCGCTTGGAGCCCCAGTAGCTAGATTTACAACATATTGGTTCTCGAAGTTCAGCAAGTTAATTGTGCAGTTACGTGGTACTTGATCAGGGAACATGCCTTCAAAATTTCAGCTTCCTGTCTTTTCTGATCTCCGAGTTAGCAAATTTCTCGTCAAAAAGTTTCAGGCGGCCGTATGTGAGAAGCACGCATGCCTGGGGCTGAATTTGAAATCTTTAAGTTATACTTAGGCTGGGAACACCTCCTTAAAATTTCTACCTCCCCGTTTTCCAGGTTTCCAAAAAAATTTAACGGGGCCGTACGTGAGAATCATGCACACCTGGGATCATTGAAATCTTTAACTTGTTTGGAACAACTCTTTGAGTTCTGTGTGGAAGGGGGAAATGAACTCAAAATTTTAGCTTTCTGGCTTTTCTAGTTCCCGAGTTAGCGATTCCCCGCCCAAGCCTTCACGCCCCCGTACGTGGGGCCCAGACGTGTGTGAGGGTTGGTGCCGCGGCCGTGGGGTGGCACTTGGCCAGGAACCCACTGGCAAAACTTTGGCACTGCAGCTTGCCTGGTTGTCAAGTTAAAAACACCTGGACAGAGCGCGTGGGGACACACACAATCACAAAAACTTACACATACACACACACACACATAAACATAAACACACACTAGGGCCGTCACTATATGCGTTTTTGCATATATGCAAATGCGAAAACGCGTGATGAGTGATATCTGCGAGGAAGCAGACTGCCATACGGGGCGTCTCTGTACAGGCGGCGCATATAACACTAAGTAACAAGCCCTAACAGGAATTGTCAGGTCAGGTTCAAAAGACCTGGTACAGCTGCGGCTGCCAGTTGAAAGTACCGCCAGTAATATGGGATCTCCTAACAACAAATGTTTGAGCGATTTTGGCACTGCGCAAGGACGCAGGGAAATGACTTTTATGACAGCATAATTTGGTTATGAAAATTTCAGGAGTGACATGTGATTTGCGATGGCAACTTCGTTTGTTGTGTAGGTTTACTCACGAATTCATTTTATCATTTAATTATTAGCGCTTCGGTAAACACTTTAAAGCAAACTTATTGATAAACTAGAAACACTGGCTGCCGTATAGGGCGTGTGGCCAGCGGAATAAAAACAATTTTCATAGGAATAGCTTACACGACAAAATAAACATTACACTGCGCGAATGTACCGCGAGGTTGGCCTTGCTGGTGTTCAGGGATCAAGCATTAGTTTTACTTTTTTGCTGATGTAAAATGCAGTACGTTCTGTTTATCAACATAACAGCGGATATCCATAATAATAACACTTTATCAACAAAATTTCACTGCATTGCTGGTCCGAGACGCATGCGTTCTGGGAGCAGTGATCAAACTTCATCACTTCGCACTTTGTTCCCACTGATGTGTTTATCGCTTGCTAAAGAAGGGTTGATCATTGGGAGGGCTTTTTGGAACTGATATGCAAGACATTAA